CCAGAAGTGGCTGAGGAACACCTTGTCCCGATCTGATACAATTGATTACATCACCTCGTGCAAACGCACTACTTCCCGGATAAACACCGTCGTGACTGAGACTACAGTGTAAAGATGCCGTAAGGGAATGAAATGTGCATACTTACTTAAGCGATCCACGACTATAATAATCACCGTGAACCCTTCTGACCGTGGAAACCCCCAATAAAGCCCACCTTCTTCCCAAACCTTCTCCTGTAGTGCTAATGGTTGTAGCAACCCCCTAGTGTTGTAGTCAAGTACTTGTAGTGCTGACACACATCACATTTTGCAACCTTTCCTCCATGTTTCCACGCATTCTCACTAAATATAGCTCTGTCTCTAGACAACTATAAGTCTTCTACACCCCCAAATGACCCCCAATCACACTACCATGAAACACTTGTAATAATCTGGGAATATACTCCGACGACTTTGGTAGCACGAATCGCCCCTGGTGGAGCAGCTGCTGTCCCCTCAATGCATATCCTAGATGACTGTTCATATCTTATAGTAATTCAATCCTTATTTTTCTCAGCTCCTCATCCATTTCGCTCTCCTGTCTCAAGGCTCCCAATCTACGACTATGGATATCGATAGTGTCGTCAATTGGGGTTCTTCCACCTTTCTCGACAGTGCGCCAGCTACCTTGTTCTCCAATCCAAGCTGATACTGAATCTCAAAATCATACCCCAGTAGTTTGGATAGCCTTCTTTGATACTTCTGAGTCACCATCTACTGCTCTAGAAGATACTTTAAACTCCTCTGATCTGTCCTAACCAAGAATTGTCGTTCCAATAGATAAGGCAACCACTTTTGAATGACCAAGACAATTTCCATCAATTCTCATTCTTATACTGATTTCAGCCTCAGTCTAGCTTCAAGAACTTGGTTGAAGTAGGTAATCGGTCGTTGATCCTGAATGCGTACTACTCCCAATCCGTATATTGATGCATCCGTCTCCACCACAAATGGTTTACTGACATCTGGAAGCGCCACTTTTGAATGACCAAGACAATTGCCATCAATTCTCATTCATATAGTGACTTCAGTCTCAGTCTGGCTTTAAGAATCTGGTTGAAGTAGGCAATCGGTCATTGATCCTGCATGAGCACTGCTCCCAATCTGTATCCTGATGCATCCGTCTCCACCACAAATGGTTTACTGGCATCTGGAAGCGCTAATACTGATACGCTATCATGACCCTCTTCAGATGTTGAATGTCTGTGTGGCTACTTCCCCCTAATTGAAATTGTCTTTCTTCAATTGCTCCGTCAATGGTCATGTTATCACGCCACATCCTCTCACGAACTTCCAATAATAGACTGTGAGAGTCCCAAGAATCCTCTTAACTCCTTCAAATTCCTTAGCAAGGGTCAATCAACCATATCCTCGATCTTGGACTGATTCACTGCTACCCTCGTCCTAGTCATCACATGTCCTAGATACTCCATCTGTAACCGAGCAAAAAATTATTTCTTCAAGTTAGCATACAATTAGTGCTCCCTCAACATTTCTATGACTATCCTCAGGTGCCCACATACTCTGTCTTTATACGACTCTATACCAGGATATCATCAAATAAAACCAGGATAAATTTCCGGAGATAAGGATGAAAAACCCTATTCATGAGGGATTCAAATGTCATTGGGGCATTAGTGAGACAAAACACCATCACTAAGAACTCATAATTTCCTTCATGTGTCTTGAATGTCATATTGTGTACATCTATTGGCCTCATCCTAATCTGGTGGTACCTTGACTTAAGATCAATTTTTGATAAAATGATTGCCCCAAAAAAGCTCATCTAGCAACTCATCAATCACTGAAATAGGTAACTTGCCCAACACCTTTTCCTTATTCAAAGCCTGATAGTCCACACAGAATCTCCAACTTTTTTCTTCACAAACAGCTTCTCTATCTCATCTTTTTGAATCTCGAGGTACCTGTATGGTTTGACGTTGATGTGATAAACCCACTCCTTCAATGTAATAGCATGCCCGTGCTCCCTTTGAGGTTGTAACTTGCTTGGCGTGGGAAAATATGAGTAAACTGCTGTAGGAGCTGCTGTAC